GTATTTTATATTTTCATTGCAAGATTTAGGGTAGTCTGACTTTATGAGGAATTATTTTATACTATTTGACTTTTTAAAAGGATAGGCAGCATTGGGTTTCTTATAATTGGTCCACGAATTGTTAAACTATTATCAAGTTGTATATCATGGCAGATGAAATCTCTGTTTATGCACCATGAGAAGTAAAGTGTGAAATTTAAATGCTGAATTAGAATGTGCATTTTCCCAAGAAGAAAACATGAGAAGCTTATTAACAACTTCAGAAGACACTTCCTCTAAGAAATATCCATTATTTTTCTTCATAGCCAAAAAGCAACATATCCTAATGAGAATAAAACTCACTCGTTAACATATTTTTATTCATTAATTTTAATCTTTGGATCATATATGCAAAGTATCTCATAAAATGATTTTAAGCATATTTTTAACAAACTTCACCTACAGTAAAAAGCACTATTTTCCAAAGAAGAATGATTTCTCATTGTAACTAAAGTTCAGTCCAAAGAATCTACCCATGAAAATAAAACAGTTACTTAAAGGCAATGAATATACTCCTCTTAGTATTTTACTGATTTTTGTTTTTCTCTGCCTGTGAGTCTTCTCTTTTCACAACTACTGCTACCATGGCAACCGTCAAAAACACACCGCTCTGAACTGCGCCCTTGCTCTGAGCCAGACATGGCACCCAGTAAGTAGCAAATTAGACCTCATTTTCCGTTCATGTGAAAGAATGGAAGGGATGCAGAAACAATAGGTGCCCTTAAGACTAAGTATAAATGAGGATGAGAGATGCATATTCTGAAAGATCTTAAACATAAGAGTTGTGACATAATTTGGATATATGATCCAAATTTAGCCACTTGCCTGTTGTTACCATTTAAGGCAGAATGGGCTGTTGCTTGGCTCAACTTTTTTGAATGTAAGTGATTTTTACACATATGATGGATGCTAGTAGATTTAATTCTCTAGAAAGATAATTGCATTAAAACTGATCTGTTTATAATTAAGGAGGGTTTTTTTAATTGTTGTTAATCTAGGATGGTCATCGCTTGACAGTGGACAGACAATATATCCACAATGGAAGATCTCTAGGGGATAAAACATATGACTTTGAGTTCCGTTATTATATTAGATCTTAAAAAAGTTTTTTTTTTTCTATTTTAATATTGGATAGAAGTTCTTTTCATGTATGAGAGAAGCCTCAATTAAAGGGAAGCTGAGATAGTAGGAAAAGTCAGGGAAGCTCTGAAATGTAGACAAGAGGAAAACTTGTACCTCAAAGCCAGGACTTCTGACATTTAAGATTAATTCTAGAAAGGGGCTAGTTTTGTCTTTGATTCTCTTTCTTGTCAGCTGCGGTCTCAGTCAAAAAGCAGAGAGGACTGACTCTGAAGTCAAACCTAGTTTTCAAGCACAAGGGTGATCTAAGGAGACTGCTTTCTCAAGATAAACAGGACAGAAAGCACATACTGAGTAAGAAGATCAGTTCGTGAAGATGTGAACCTGTGGGGGAGGAGGATTGTGCCCAGAACAACGTTGGAAAAGCTTCTTCAAGTCAGTCCAATGCATGCAACCATGAGATAAATGCAGAGTGAAAGAAACAGCTTTAGACCCAGAGACAAAACACCCTAGATTCTCGAGGTGGATTCTCCTATTAACCATCTGTATTGACCTAGATGAACTTAGGTGAGTTCCTTCTCTCTAATTCTCTCAATAGAGCAAGCATTTATCAGGCAGTAATTATGTATGTTCAAGGCACCAGGCTGTGAGCCAGAGTTTTCCAAGGGTTGGGACAGGAACTAGAATCTGATGGGTCCCATCTCAGAACTACTGAATGGGGATCTCTGCAGATGAGTAATTCCTGGGTGATTTTTAGGCATATTTGAAGTTGAAAACCAGCTTTCAGCAAGAGAATTAAAAAACACGTGTGACAGAGTTTGTACTTTCAAAAACATTCTAAGTTCTTTTAATTTTAAAATGGCCTTTGTACCAGGTGATTGCTAAAAGCTTTGATATTCAGTTTATTTTCTAACTGTATTAACATTTTACATGGTCTCTTACTTTAAAAAGTATAATTTTAATTATTGACCTTTTTCTACTCAGGCAGCCATTTTTTATGTCCTCTGAATAAGCCACACAATTTCTTAGTTTCAAAGTCTTATTTGGGGAGAAGTGAAAAAGTAAACAGCACTGTGAATGTTACCCTAATGATTTTCAACAGCACCCAGGGCAGCGTGGGATCAGCAGTCAATGAACAAGGACCTGCTTCTAACTAGTTATGACCATGGGCACACAAGTATACCTTTCCAGGCCTTAGCTTCCATGTTCTAAAATGAAGGATTGTATTATTCAGATGATACAGTCTCTATGAACTCAAAGTTTCTATGGTTCTATCACTCTTAAAATTTGTGAACAACATCTGTGACACATGCGACATCTGTAAGCTCATATTAGAGATTTTGGAAATCAAAACTCATATATACATGCTAAGTCGCTTCAGTTGTGTTCAACTCTGTGGGACACTATGGACTGTAGCCCGCCAGGCTCCTTTGTCGGTGTGATTCTCCAGGCAAGAATACTAGAGTGGGTTGCCATTTCCTCCTCCAGGGGATCTTTCCATCCCAGGGATTGAACCTGTGTCTCATCTGTCTCCTGTATTGGTAGGCAGGTTCTTTATCACTAGCACCATCTGGGAAGCCCCAAAACTCACATACCTGAACATTACTCTTGGGAAGCTTATAAACTTGAGTAATCCATCCACAGGAATCCCACTGATTTTATGAGTAAATCATCTCCTGCATTCATTTATTCCTCTTTACTTTCAGGAGGGGTGGCCATGAGAAGATACCCCTCGTCCAAGGTAAGGAGTGGCGGCTGCACTTTGCTGGAGCAGCCGTGAAGAGATATCCCACGTCTGAGGTAAAAGAAACCCAAGTAAGATGGTAGGTGTTGCGAGAGGGCATCAGAGGGCAGACACACTGAAACTACAATCACAGAAAACTAGCCAATCTGAT